ATTTTCAACTTAAGACTAGATAATGATGTAAATTTCTGCCTTTTAAACTATTGGACGATTAGGCGCTTTTAAAAGATTCTTTTGCATGTATTTGTCTTTTTTTTTTTTATTAAAAAAAAGTACAATTTAATTTGTGACATTTGGTTGTGACGCGGCGACACATCCTATGTTCTATGTCTTAAACATCTATGAAATAAATTCAATTAAACATTATTAAATGAAAAATTCTAATTTAATTAGATTTACCTTTGTGCATCATTTTGTATATCATAATTGATAATATAACGCCAAATATAAAAGATATTGACACTGCGACATTACTTTTGGATCAACCCTGTACAGTATCTGCCCATAAGTGAGTTGAAATTTTATTTTTTAAATACATATTCCATCATAGGATGCATTTTTCTTTTTTCTAATTTTCTAAAATATAATTGCAATGTTGTTATTTGTTATTCATTTTTGTGACTAAAATACCATAAAGTGCAGATGCGTTGCAGTTTCTTCTCATTATTTCAAAATAATTTTATCACAGGTCAAGAGCAAAATAAAAATTCTAAGACTATAATTTCTTAGAAATCTTAGATTTTTATTTTTTTTATCTTGACAATGTTATAATTTATTCTCCATGATTTGTGTATTATTTTGTTTAGCATTTTAACAGGTCGGAGAGAATACTCGAAATCGGGTATTATCCCTGAAATCGCGTATAATACTCGATATTAGGGTATCGTTGAATCCGCGAAATCGGGTATTCCGTGCAACTTTCTATAAAAACTAAAGAATAAAGCAGCGGTGCATTATGCCAGTAACTGTAACTTGTACATCAGTATCTTGTGGATTTATTTTTATTTAACCTAAAACATAAGGTTGTCAAATAAGTTTAAAATCACACGACAAACACTGCTGGGGTTACAAAGAAGACACAATGGCGTTATTATTTTTCAATATAATTTCTAAAAACAAATCACTACACTTCGTTTGTCTTTATTTCCCATTTAAGTATTCCATATACTTATTTTTTTTAATTTGTGCACGATTCACAAAACGTGAAATTTTAAAGAAATTAAACGACTAACGCCATGTTATGTATTTTTACTGAAAAATGTATGGCATCCCTTTCTCGTGAAATATAAATTACTCCTTACCTAACAGTTAGAGAGTACAGTATAAGCGAGTTATAATTGTATACCTCTGCAATAATAGAATACCAACGTTATCATAAAGAAGAAAATGAAATAAGATGAAATAAATACCCACGGGAATACAGTTTTAAAATAGCTAATTAAAGGTGAGTATCTTTCTTATGTCAATTTAGCATTAAATTTTTATTCAAAGACACCGTAAATTTTTTAGTTGCATCTTAATTGATACAAAATATATTATTTTACATTTATTTTATGCATTTGTGTGAAAATTGAGAAAGAGAAGTCTTATGAACAGGATTTTCTTTTTTTTTTTTGGGGGGGGGGGGTAGAAATAAAAGTCAAATGTGTACATCTTTTCATGAAGTTAAAAAACATTGAATTTCTCAATATAGATCAAGGTACAGTCATATTGAAATATGAATTACATAGTCAAGTTTTCACATATAGTTTTTACGTTTGTGAACGTGTTAAATGAACAAACTGAAATAATGGAGTGTTCAATTGCCTTGGAAACTCTTGTCTTACTTTTGGGAATATAATTCCTCATCGGACATTAAAATTTCATAAAAATCGTAGCCACTTCCTTTCTTTATTATACTATTTGATAGACAGAGTAAATTTTACCTCTTTACCTTCTATATTCTTTTTTAATATGGCAATATCTTTTGCCTCATTATAATATGCTAATAATACAACGCACTATCTGATTAGTTCTAGACAATATGTCACAGTTTTCTTTTAGTTATTTTATCTATGATACGTATAACTCATGGCAATAATACTAATACTCATCTAATACTAATACTCATCTATAATGAAAAAATGTGTTTAAAAAATAAACAAGTAGTCTTATATTGTGTTAGAAAATAACAGGTTGCTTTTTGGTTACCTACAATGTATATGATTTTTATTTGATGAATAAATCTTCCCTACGATTAAAAATATATGACCGAGTTAACCGACCGTGACATTCAAAGAGAAGTCTCTTAGACACATGTAGAACACAGTCGAGGTTGTTTTGTCAGAGGTGGTCAAGAAGCTTTAGCCCCCCCTCCTTTGAAGTCGCCAAGAAATGGTGAAATATTGATGACTTAGCGAAATTAAACGATCAACAGTTATGTTCTCTCATAAGCTGTATTCCTGAAACTAACACTCTCTCTGCTAAAATTTTGAAGACATATTCTGCAAATATGTTTGAATGATAAATAAAAAAGAAAAGATTTTCAAAAAAAAGAGAAACGTTCTTTTAGCCGAAATTTTAGTCATTTTTATAATTACATTATTTATACATTCAAAAATAAATTTGATTTTATGCACAAAATGAATGTGAAAGTAATTAATGTCGCATAATTTGATACGATAGACAATCCCTTCTTTATACATGGCATCATATCTATCTGGTGTATGAAATGTGTTTCCGTATAATTTGATTTATTTACAAATTGTTCATGTTTGTCGTGTTGATGTGGAATTATCATAAATTCCCGAATTCTGATACTTAACAATTCTGTTGTGTTGGGAATGAACATTAGGAAGAAGCTTATACTTTCAACATAAGGAAAAATATGAAGGAAATCTAACACCCTTTTTTGTGCAGATCATGAAATGTACAGAGCTCCACGGGTATTTGTTGTCCCGAGCGCATTAATCTTGACGTCCAAATTCTTACTTGGCTAGTGATATCTTTAGAAAACATGTGTATCTAGATGAAAGTCAACTCGACAACATGCGCCATTCCATTCTTTAAGTTTTATTAGGTGATCACACCTCCTTTACCCGATTTCGCAGATTCACCGATACCCTAACATCCAGTATTATACGCGATTTCACGGATAATACCCGATTTCGAGTATTTTCTCCGACCTGTTTAGGACAATGAAAAATTGACATCACAACAAGTTTTACGGAAAAAAATTATTTTTTCAATGAAATATATAATGTAAAAATGCAATGATAACTCATTCATGGGCATATATTGTACCATATTGATATGCAAAACAGGAGAAAATCTTAAGCAGGTTCCGTAATGGCGTCTTCTCAACTCGCTTGTTTACATGGCTTGTTCTTTAAAAACGCTGCACCTACATGTACCAATCTTTCTGCATCGGAGGTCGAACATTAATTACTTATTGCGAAAATCCTCCAATCTTTCAGATTATTCCCAAAACTTGAGTTTTAAACATCTTTCAAATTTTTCTGTTAACATACTAAAACCTAATTCAAAACAAATTCCGTCCACTCAGACGCTTCAAAATTCCTGAGTTATCTTAGACAATGATGATAGTTTGTATTTTATAATCTTTATATTTTTATCATGATATTGGTACCAGGTATATTTCTCATTGCAGATAAAGAGTAAAAAAAAATTCGACCAGTTTAAAGGCTAACATGAAAAAGATTCCTAACATGTCAAAGGATGTACATGTAAGCACTACCTAACTTTAAGCTGTGGGAGGCACTTTCTAATGACGTACCAAACAACTGTTACTAACTGTAATTTTACTGAAAACATCAGGTTCACAAAATGTAAGCAAACATTGGTTCAAAATAGGGCTGTCACGGGTACCCGAAATGACCCGGAACCGCGGAACAATTAATTCGGGTCGGGTACGGTTCCGTTTTTCTGGAATTCGGTTCGGTTCCGATTTGTATAATAGAGTAGATTTTAATATAAAATGACGTCAAAAACGAGAGTTTTGTTGGTAAATTGTCATTAAAAGGCAGGGTTTCAGATTGGCGTCGGCCATTTGCCAATGAAAGTTTACCTGCCATGTTGGCCTATAAGTTTGACATTGAACAGACTCATGGCCGATTATCTTCTGTATGTAAAGGCCAGTCATATAATTTTTCCTCCATTCAGATCCGATTGTTTTTCTCTACTTTCTGCAACTGCCGATTCAATCAGCCAATGACATTTTGGTATAAATAGATCTTGACAAAATACTCTATAATTTTATTTCCAAACCCAACTCAAAGAGCATAAAGTAGTGATGAATGTTTAAAACGTCGAAGGAATCCATGCCATGTTGTTATTTTTACCGCCATGATTGAATATAGGGTCGGACTAATAGCAGGAAACGGACAATGTTGCAAGGTTTTACTAAGGAAAAAAAATAGTCTAGGTAATCTTTAAACGTAATTATACATTGAATATCATCAGAGATATACAAGTCTAATTTTTGGATTACTATTTTCAAAAATTGTAATCCCAAGAAATAAATACATTTACATGTAATGAAAGGTGGGACTAATAAAAGTTAAATACCCATTGAATGGAATTAAAAAAAACAATTGCCATTCTGTTTCAATATATTAATTTTGTTTAAAAGAAACAATATGATATTTCCACCTTATTAAAAGGAAAATTAATATACAAGTTTGAATATTTTATGTAATGAAATGACTATTTTGTAAAAGTCTGACAGAAATCTGAGTTAGTTTAACTTTTCTTTTGGACTATAATTTTAGGAAGTTTAGGACAGAATGGCCTATAACTTTTCTGGTAAATATGCCAGATGTCCTGTAGTTACTTATTTCAATCTGAAACCCTGAAAGGTGATTTAAAAATAATTTGGTACAGTTGTTGTCTAGTCAGGAGGCTACTTTAAACTAGTTATAATGTTGCAATTTCTAAGATTAAATGAGAATATTCTTTTTATTGTTGAAAATAATACAAATCATGAGCTTTTCTTCCATTACCTACCTGACCCGAGAAACCCGAAACCGAACCTCAAAAAATCAGAACTGACCCGACCCGAAAAATTTAGGAACCGTGACAGCCCTAGTTCAAAAGCAATTCAAAAATTTAATATTTTTAATAAAAATTTTGGTAAAATGATTTTTTGTCTCTTGTATTAAGCTCTTGATAGCAGAGAGATTGGTCCATTGGTCCTATATCTTGGTATTGTGGTTCAGTTTCTTCTTTGTTGTGACATGTCTCGGCAACTTTTAATTTTGTCCTTGCTTCACATTTTTTCTTTATGTATACAATCCTAAATAGAAAAAAAATCACCTATTTTCTTTTCTTGACATCATGTCATTGGGGTCAAAATCGTTATCTCTGAATAAAAAGTTATGATTACTACATTAATCATTCTTTGCAGGAAAAAGAAAAAAAAGTACTTACCTGATCAGAAAGGCAACAGTACATATCAATAAGGCATTTAATCCACCAGAGATGATCAATGCGACAGTTTGTTCATTTGTTTTACAAGTTTGTACACTGTTGGATACTGAATGCATACAATTTATCTTGAGACAAATACACTGTTTGCTCCGTGAATTAAAACATAAAATGGAAGCTTTTTCAGTAAAACAGATTAAAAATATTCCATCAATATAGAGGAAAAGCATTCAAAGTTTTTTTTTTTCCGGTTTTTCTCTGTTCTGAACACCAAACCTTTAAACCGGGTATAATTTTTTTTACGAAGAATTATTATTATTATTATTATTGCTTTTATAATTTTTCTAAATTATAGATATAATTATATATATAAGGTAGAAAAGGGATTGTTTTTACAATCTACTATTATTTTTAAAAATATAATGATATAATGCTTTCGAATATTTACCTTTTCTGCAATAAGGGTTATCGGTCAAGCCTGGCAAACAGTAGCACATTCCAGTGACATGGTTACAAGGTGCTGTGCAGTTTTCTGAACACTTATGTGTGCAATTCCTTCCAAAATACCCTTTCACACAAGCTAGCGTAAATTTAATCACAATATATATTCTTAATTTTCCAGAACATATTTTCATACAAATGAAGAGCTTTTTTTCAACTACGAGGGTTGATCCAAAAGTAATGTCACAACTTCGATAAAATCGCTATCCGTCGACGTAAATCAACAAAGTTATAAATGATGAAAGCTACATTTATTTCAAATCAGACCTGAAAATTTCAAATCAACATGATTTATACTTTTTAAAATATCGGATTATATATAATGTGCGATTTGGGTAGTCGCCGCAGCTAAATAACGTCATATGACGGATACGCACCGTCATACATTTAAACGCTTCCCTTTGTTTCATTAAAAAAAGTTGAGATTTGATATCCACGAACACGTTCAGAAATTCCACTTTTTTACCCTTAGTACACATCGTACACTCACTCTTTTCATAATTAGTTCTGTCAAAATTCATTGAATAGTAGTAAATGACCAACTTAAAATTTCACATATCGCTCTATCTGTCTGTCCTTTTGACAACGTCACGCACCATTGAACATTTCCGTCCGCCCTCCAATCTTACGGTTTTCTTGTCATCTGCTGAGCATTTAACGACCCATCACCCATCGAAAATCGCTGAAACCATCTAAACAAGTCTCTTATTTACATTCTTTCCTCCGAAAGTCTGGTGAATCAACGTAACTGTCTCTACTGCCGATTTCTCCATTTTGAAGCAAAAATGCATTACAGTTTGTTTTGGCTTTTTTGTCCGTTTTGAAATTTCCTTTTTTCAATGCACCGGAATAAATCAACGATGTTTTTCATAAAAATAGCAGTGATGTCATATGATTTTCAATTTAAGACTAGAAAATGATGCAAATTTTTGTCTTTTAAAGTATTTTGCGTTTAGGCGCTTTTAAAATATGCTTTTTAAGTGTTTGTCTTTTTAATACTAAAAAAGTACACTTTAATTTTTGACGTTCAGTTTTGACGCACACACCCCCTATCTTATATGTTTAAAAAATCTATAAAATAAATTCAGTTAAACATTATTGAATGAAAAAATAAAATTTAATTAAATTTATATTTGTGCATCTTTTGGTATATAATATTTGATAATATGACGCCAAATATAAAAGATATGGACACTGAGACATTACTTTTGGATCAACCCTCGTATATGACTATAAGAGTTTTACATCTTTTTAAAAAATGTGTTTCATTGATAATTATTATTTATTGACACGTATTAATTCCGACGTAATATGTAACATATACAGTACTTTTATATGGGTGTATCTTCAAATATCAGCAGAGGTGGCTTGTCCCGTCTGATATCTGAAGATGCATGAGTTAAAAGGTACTCTATATGTTTTGTATCAGTAACCAATGTTCTATCAACTTCACGTTTATAATATGTGATCCCACTACATTCCAATGCACTGGGTAAGCCATTATCTATCAATATTACATCGTACAATTTCATACGACCAATGAAAAAAGAGCACGTGATTCAAAAAGTATAGCGCGTTGTTTTATTTGAACTTAAATTCTATCTCGCCCATTCAATTCTGAACGCCATGGATGACGGTTGTGATTTTATGATATGGTAATTCTCTGTAGAAACCGAAATTATGATGGGGAAAAATCCTTAGGTCAGTTTATCATAATACTCGTAAAAATACCAAGTGGGCAATTAAAATCTTCAACAGCACGGGAAAGTGGCCACTTTTGACCGAGATGTACATTGAATCTCTAAATTACTGAATGCAGCGATTTGTGATGGAAATAATAAAACAAAGTTCATTCTACCCATTCCTACTTTTTGAAAATCAGGTAAAAAAAATGTAAGATTTTATTTGGTAATAGGTGGAATTTTTGTGTAAACAAATAATTAAATGTGAAAACATATAATTACTGTACAAACAATGATTAATGAACACCTATTGGAATAGAGGACAGATATATTTGCTTTATTAAATTATAAATCAGACTTTTTGCTAATATTTGAAAGAGAAAGTGGATTTTTAATAGAAATAAATTATATTTTTCTCTGTTAATATATTCTAAAATCCACCCATTTGAATGCTTTTTCCAATAAATCTATTAATTTTATGTTCTTAAATTAAGATATTAAGTTTCTTTTTCTTGTAAGACCTTTTTATTATTTCAAAAATCCGAAAATAAACCATATTTTCACATAGATGTATTCATTATTTTGTGTCTTAAAATGATAAAATGCAGGTAAATCAAAATAGCAGATGTAATTAGTCTAGTTACTGTAAAAACAAATTAACTATCTTAACATCTATTGTTATTTGAAAGTTGGAATAGGTGGAATTGGGATTTTTAAAAAGTGGGAATGGGTAGAAGACATGAAAACAATACGGCTCGGAGTATCCACCACCTGTCCTGTAATTCAGTGTGCGTGGTTTGCTACGCTTTAAGTTTATGAGAGACGAAAAATTCATTTAATATTGTGCTGAGGAAATTCCATTTTGCAGGTTGTACGCAGCTTCCGTAATGGTTGTCACAATATGAAATACAAAATTAATACGTTTACATGTATTTGGTAAATATTGGGTCTAAATTAATGCATGTAATAAAGGTTGTCATTGTGAAAGACAAATTGGATTTTAAAATAAAACTAGAGGTACAGTGAGCAATGAGCTCACTAAATAATACCCCCCCCACCTCCCATATGAATATAATGGCAGTATCCATGTTTTGCTCTGGAAAATCCAAAATATATGTCAGATCATAAAGTAAAATAGGAGGTGCACAGTGGCAATATGCAATAAAGATTCTGTGAAAGTTTCATTAAATTTCCTTCAAAGAAATAAGAGGAGTTGCGGATAAGAGATGGGTACCCCAAAGCGTAACAGACGGACGGACGGACATAACAATTACTATATAGTCTCCCGCTTTTCAAGCTGGGGTATAATTAACAATGATATTTAAATAATAGTGTTGCATTATGCATGTACTATGCCTAAATAGTAGGCAGGGTTTGACACATGGTGCACGAGCCGGAGGCTGACTGTTGTTATTATTTATGCGGCAATCCGTTTGAATTTTTCCTGAAAATATCGGTGCTAACACAGCGCACTTGCAAGAACTCGTTCAAAATCTTCATGCTAAAATTGGTTGCATGCTTAGTTATTTTGGTTATTACTAGTATATTTTCTCTAAATAAGTCAGGATTTTCTGTCCCAAAGCAACTCATCTTTAATGTCTGTTTTGTTTGTAAGACTTATTTGTTTGCAGACGTCGATTCTCATTGATAATTGTCTTTAACATCCTTCAATCAAGCGTCATATGAAATTAAAGCGTTTTAATGACCCTACGAAATCAGTTCATCTAACGATCTGTATGTAATTAGTTTGAAACTTTGTTGAACATATTAATTTAAGGTTCCTTAAAATAATATAACTGTTTTCAAATAAAATTTGTCTATTTTCTCCTTCTTGTGTCAATTGTGTGAATTAAGTTTTTATATTTTATAAAATCCTACCAATTAGTGATCGTCTCTGTGGCGTAATCGATAAGGCATCGGACTAACAATCTCATGGTCGTGAGTTCGCTCACCGGCGTGCGCAAGGAAGAATTTTATTCAGTAAATAAAGCCGTGCACTATTTCGGCATAGTATGTTTACGCTATATAAATCCTTAGACGACTATGCGAGAATAGTAGGGTATGGGTTATAGAGAGACAATCTGACAGGAAGCATAATAATTGCAAATAGTGTAAATTCACATATTGTCAATGGGTCAGATTTTTGAGGTTCGGTATAAAAAGTTAATATGGACTTGATTTCTTTGAAATAGTTGTTATCTATTTGAAATTTTACAAATTTTTCCGCGGAAATAATTTTTTTTTTAATATCTTCGTGCCACAGAAACAAGAAAAATTAAACCCATAGGCATGTTATAGTTCCTTATGTCAAAAGTCAATTTTAATTCCTGGAGTATTTTTTATAAAGAGTGTACCTTTAGCTATTTAAAACCAGAATTAATAAAATTCAAACAAATGGAATATCATTTATTAGAAGACGACGGATCTTCTCTTTGATTATCAGAAGGACATTAAAAATCGTCATTAATTGTTCATTTAATACTAAACGTCAGCACGAGAAGTATCTTTTTAAGTTTCCAAATAGTACTGGCTGTTAATATAAGATGTTTCAATAATAATGCAAACAAGATGTGTTTGTGAAAAACTATGCGCCCGGCGGCAACAATTTAATATCAATTCTCTGTAATTATCAAAATTGGTTGGCCACGCATAGAAAAACATTTTGATTTTTTTATAATAATTTTAAACTGATTTGTCATTATTTGTAAAATCTAAAGTGGGTTTATGAAATATACTCTTGGGTTGCCATAGAAACGGGGTGCAAAATTCTCAATTTCGTTAATTTTGAAAAACGTGTACTTATCAAGAAAACTGTGTCCAGAAATGAAAAGGGATAACTTAATATGTTTTCATTATTTAGATTTAATCCTACAGATTAAAGTAATTATATCTGTAGTTTTAATTTAATCTCTCAATAGTAAATGGCCATTTTACATATTATAACATCAGATATGTGATTGGTTTAGTGGAGTTTTTGGAGGCTTAAAACAAAAAAGGCACACGGATTACAAATTTAGTAGTAATTAATTATGAAAGGCTGATATTTGATTATATCAAAATATGTAAAATATTGGTGGGAGACTCAAAGATGTAAAAGGAATTCAAAGGTAAAGATTACTTTTTTCTACATTTTGAAGCATTTTTTGCTTCCTAATTACTTCCCTTGAACTACTCTCTAACGTTTGGAGGTACAATGTGTATTTAGTAAACAGCAATGAACATTTTCTGGCGAAAGATCTCATCAAAGTTTTACAGTCTGGAAGAAGAAAAGAAGGCTAGACATCTTAAACAATGAAGACAGAAGGTAAATTTATGTATATACTGAGCATTACAAAAATTTCAAGATTAACAAATGCATATTTTCTTAATTTTATTTGCCTTACAATACA